AGAGAGAGAGAGTAAAATTTAAAAATGGCTCAGGTATTAAATTGTTTGAAATGCATCTGTGGAATATTAAAATTTATAATAAAACATATGTATAATTAATTTTAAACATATTATTTTCGAATTCAAAAAATTGATGTGTACATTTAACGATCATTCTTTTTACATTCATTTAATGAGATCGTAATGTAAGCAGCAGTTACATCGCTCCAACGATTTCAAAATTGCCATTTACATTAACCTGCATTCGTTTTTTTCCCTTCATTGAGATTGCATGCGATTAAGTAATATGGTAAAACAGCGGAAGAAAACGATTGCTACTCGTAATCTTTGCGATTGTTGACTCCTAATTGAACACCGATAAACAACCGGGTCCGACAAGGCAGTCGTTTTCTCTAACGGACTCGAAATAACGAAAACCACGCAGACATTTTTACAGATGTTCATACGGTACGATTTGCATTGTTGCAGATAAATGATGATTGGTTTCACATGGAGCATCGATCCGTGGCGAAGAGGTCGACGGAACCGCATCTTGAAGTGCACCAAAGGCTAATGAATGACTCCAGAGTACGTCGAGCGGAGCAGCAGCGGGCAAAATCGCGCACTAAAAGGGATCTTATAATCAAACGTCCGTCCAATATACTAACCATGCTAAACGATGAGAGGTGGCCTCAGATGTGGTATCTGGTAAGCAATTTTAATCAAGAGTACTTTATCCTTTGCGTATGACAAAATTGTCGTGTTACACCGACAAATAAAATTTTATACAGTTAGAATATTAGAGATAAAAATTGAATAGAAATATTAAGAAAATTTATAGTGAATGAACACATTATAGTGAACACATTTTGATGTAAAAAAGTTACACACAATTATATTTATTGGAAATATATCGCGAATAATATTTCCAAATTAAAGGAATTTTATATTTAATTTAGCAATTACTGCGCATTTTTTAATATTATCGACGAACACGAAAGTGTAGTATTTTATTTGAAACTTTTTCAAAAAAGTTAAATCGCGATTAACAAGAATAATATAAAAAAAAAAACGAGTTTGATCGATATCCAAAAAAAGCATTCACATTTATGTCACAAATGAAGACTTGCAATGCCGGAAGTAAGACGTCGAAAGTATTGGATAATTTTTCTTTTCAGAACAGAGGAAAGGGCTTGGACATGAACGTACAGGGTGCTTGGGCTGAGGGAATTACTGGAAATGGCGTCGTGGTCACAATTCTCGACGATGGATTGGAAAAAGATCATCCTGATCTTTACAAAAATTACGTGAGTATTTCAGTAATGTAGTTTTCTATTTATTGAAGTTGTTCAATTTTGTTATTTTTCTATAAAAACATTTTTCTGGAGCAATAATAAAGCGAACACATTTCTAGTATTAAAAACCTGGCAATTTTTCCTTTAAGTACACTTAGTTTCCGTTTCAATTATCAAATATTACGAACTGGAAGCAATTATATTTAAGTAAATTGCATCTTGTAATTTTTCATGGCAGCTCCAGTAATCTTGTAAAGTAGCTTTCTGTTTGATTAAATCTATGCGAATAAGTAAAATCGCAAGTGCTTAATATCCGCCTAATATCATTTGAGGGACGTTTGATGGGTAAATACGTTCAATGACACAAAAAAGAGAAAAAAAGAAGAAAAATCTCTAACGGAATGTACAATAAAATATGGCGGGTAAAGGCGTATCATGGATGCACTGGGAATATCGGCTATTGAGCGCGAATATTGGAAGGGGTTATTCAGTACCTGTATATAGAGAGTAGCTATTGATTCACGGATGGTTACATTGAATGAGGCATCTTCGCACGCAATAGAAAATGAATCGCATTAATCAGTCAGTAGACACACGCTGCGATGGTGCGCCTTAGTGCGTTGCTCTGATTATGCGAGCTTACAGCCCTTCGCATGTATTTCTCATTATGCAAATGATGCATAGATGAATAGGTATTAAGAAGATATTCCGATATAATCAGGGATTAAAGTGTAATACTCCACCATTCTAGTAGTAAAATCTTGTTATTATAATCTCTCTGTTACGCATATTATATATTCGAAATATTCTTTTTAGATAAAAAACAAAAATTGATATGCATTATTTGCAAAATTCTTTTTTATTTTTTGTTAAAATTTCTCTCAAATTGTTCCACTGATATGTATGATGTATGATCATATTTTTACTTGTTTCACGATTACTGTGCGCGCATATTTTATTTTTATCAGATAAATATTATATCCAATGCAGAATATAGATGAAAAGTATTTCGTAAACGCGAGAATTTTAATTAATGCTATTTTCAATTTCTATTGTAGGATCCTCAGGCGAGTTATGACGTCAATAGTCACGATGAAGACCCCATGCCAAGGTACGACTTGGTAGACAGTAATCGACACGGCACCAGGTGTGCCGGAGAAGTCGCAGCCACTGCCAACAATTCTCTTTGCGCTGTAGGTGTTGCTTTTGGAGCAGGCGTAGGTGGTGAGTATTTTATGAAAAGGATTACGTAATATTACAATGATTATATAAGTTAAAAAAAGATACTTCCGGTACCTCTTTCAGAATTTTCTTGTTATATAATTTAAAAATTTTTATTGCTTATGTAAAAATTTTTACTTTAATCGACATCTTGTTGTCTAATTTTCAATCGTACGGCATAAATGACGTGAAAATTTAATTGCTGTTTTAAAAGCTTATTGTATGGAAGTTTGAAATAAGATGGAAATGAGATATTAAAAAACTTTCAGAAAGAGAGAGACAGGATATTTAAATAATAAATTGTTGGAAATGACAGTTCAATTTGAGGCAATCACTTAAATCTACTTGCAGTTCTGTTTCCAATTAGCAACAGTGAAGTCGATGTCGGAACTTGGGCTACTGCTTGCAACATGTGTGTTTGTAATAAGCAAAATATCGTTTGATCGCATCATTTTCAAATTAGATTTGGGATTGGCAATTGCTTGTTGCACGTGCATTATATTCGGAACTGATTCAAATCGGAACGTGACGCTCAATTTCGACTTTGTAAATTGGAATTCTCTATTCTACATACCGTTGTAATTGTGTAGGATAATGAACTCAAACATGAAATGGATGCTGTTTAGCAGTTTGTAAATTTCTGATATACATACATATATACGTATTTACGAATTCTTAGAATATCAACATTAAAAATTTATATATTTATGTATGTATTTATGTTTATATATATTTATTTATTTATAAATGTTTATATATTATGTCATATTAATTATATAAATTATAATTTGTAATTCTATTTTTGTACAGGTGTCCGAATGCTAGATGGCGATGTAACAGATGCCGTCGAAGCAAGATCCTTGAGCCTTAATCCCCAACACATCGATATTTATAGCGCTTCATGGGGACCAGATGATGATGGCAAGACCGTAGACGGTCCTGGTGAACTGGCTACCAGAGCTTTCGTCGAGGGAATTACCAAAGTAAGTGTTTGCCAGTGAGAATTCTATTATAATTTTGTGATAAATATGACTTGCGAATTTATCTCATTTATGCAAATTAAAT